ATCTTATGCAAAAATTCCTTCCATGTATCCATCTAACCTAGGTTCTCTTGTTCCCTAACCTGTTTGACTCTCGACCTTTGCTTCTGCTCTTCCTCAACAGCCACTTCTTTTGCCACCCTTTGGACTTCACGTGGACCCCATCTTTGTACAATCCACCTCTTAATATAAATTCTACTACCCCATCTTCTATGCAACCTCTTATCCTAGATGCTTTAATCTCTTAACCCCTAATCCCATCTTTATCTGTTATAATTTGATTCCTCCCCTTTTTTCAAACTTATATACTATTTTTCCCACTCACCCTAGACTTCCTTTTGCATGACTTTGACTGCATCCTTTCATTAACATCTTCAGCTCCTTTGCTCTGTTGTACAGTCACCACCCTTTCCTTATAAGTCCCTCACTCATGGCCAGTCCGAATAAGTGTCTTCCTTCCTATAACCAAGCTGAGCTCTATTGGAGAAATCACAAAGCTACAGATTGATGCCACTACAAATACGTACTGCCCAGTTTCACTTCGGCTCTAGTACTGATCCGCTCTTTCCTTCCTTCCAGGGATACATTGACATCTTTACCCCCCTTCCTCAAGCCCCATCCCTCTCCACTACCCTTTATCTTCAGTCATTACCACAGAGTCTTCCTTCTTCCTGCAGCTGAACAATGGAGATCTCCTCATCTTCCAGCCTGCCTGGTAGCATGTCCTCATCCATCTTGTCTCCTTTTTCTTGTCTCAGAAAGGATTACCTTGCTTTTTTCCTAGGCTAATTCATTCATCTGGCTTCTTACCTCAATTCTCTTTCCATCTCTTGTCCCATTTCTGGATCTTGTCTCAAATTTTATTTCCTTTCTATCTCATTATCTTCATGTTTCCCCTCTATCTGTCTGGTCAATCTCTTTATTTTACATTGTGACTTAAGTATGGCACTCGAGATGTTGCAGGCACTGTTCTTTATGCTGTATATATGTTGACACATTAAATCCTTGCAACAGCCTTATGGGGTAAGCGCTATTATTATCAGCCCCATTTTACAGGTGAGGTAACTGAGACATAGGCCATCAAATATCTTCTTTAAGGTTACCCAAGTAATTGACAGAATCAGGTCCAGAATCCAGGCAGTTTCACTCCAGAATTTGATCAGCCCCATTTTACAGGTGAGGTAACTGAGACATAGGCCATCAAATATCTTCTTTAAGGTCACCCAAGTAATTGACAGAATCAGGTCCAGAATCCAGGCAGTTTCACTCCAGAATTTCTGTTTTCTCATCTCTCTCTCTCTACCTAAAAACTTGTCTCAGCTCCCATCATTCCATCACCCATTCTCCCTCCCCCTGTGGAAAAAAAGAACCCATACGTTTTTCTGTGTTCTGTACCTCGTGCATCCAGTCAGTCGGGTCCTGATGTTTCCACTGCCTGCATGCCCCTCACATGCCTCTCTCCCTACGACCTCAAATGGCATTGCCCTAGTTCAAGAATTCATCATCTTCTGTCTGAGCTCCTGCCACCAGTCTTGTCTCTTACAGTCCTTCTACAGAAGATGCATGAGAGACCCTTCTGCACATGCCTCCTGCCTCCCTTGCTAGCCTCGTTCCTGTCACTTTTGTTCAGACATAACGTACTCTCTGGAGTCTGCTGGACACTGGGCTCTTCCTACTCATTGTCCTTGCATTGATGTTCTCTTTTGCTCCCTGGTCCCAGCCCTATCTTCCTTCCAAATTCATTTGTGTTTCATCAGGTGTGTCTCAGTTCCAGCACTAAGTCCTTGGTTGAAGCCCTTTTGGGCTCCTAAAGCACTTTGTAGTGCTCCTTCCTCTGCTTCTATTTGTACCTCATAAGTTACCTCAGTTCTACCTTGTTTCTCTCTGTACTATCACTCTCCTATGAACATTTCTTTCTCTAAATTATAAGTTGCTTAGTCAGAGACACTGTCAGTTCATATCTGTTAAACCACCTTTTGACAGATCTTCTGGCATGTGGATAGTCGGCCCTCCATAAACATTGAATACATTTTTAAGACAAATTTCTGTATACTTTTCAAGGAGTATAATGTATATTTTCTCATTATACCTTATAATTATGAAGGAGATAGGACTAGTGTTATTATCCTTTTTTTTACAGAGAAGGAAACTGATGCTTAGGAAGATTGAGTAATTTATGCAGAGGAACAGAGCTCAGTTTTTTGGAGAGCCAAGACAAACTAGATCTTCTGAGTCAAGTGTTTTAATGAGTGGGGGAGCTCTTTGTAAAATATCATAATAATGTATAATACAGTTATTTTTAGTCCCTCATTCAAGCTGTCATCCCTCAATTTAGGTTTCTTTGATTTCATTAAGAATTGTTCTTCAAAGATCCCTAAGTGATTCTGTTAAGTTATGCATTATTATTGTAATGACCTAGTATGATCCTTAACTTAGTATTAAACTGTCTATTACTATAAATTTAAGAGGACTTATTGAGAATCTACAACATGTGCCTACTGTATTATACTTGAGAGGGGCACGAAAGAAATATAAAACTCTATTTTCAAAAAACTGTTAATCTCATTGAAGAAATAAGATTTTACATGAAAACAATTAAAAAATTAGAGAAAATGGCATCCAGTGCTAATTTCTGGTCAGAAAATTATGTGATCATTTAAGGAGGAAGATAAAGTGGGATGTAGAATAATGAAATTGTCAGAGAAATATCTGCAGAATTCGGATAGCCTTGATTATCCAAGGGAATTTTAATTGTTTTAGAAATCTTGTGATAAGTTTGACTACAAATATTGCTTGTAAGTAGGATGACCGTATGATTTCTCAACCAAAACAACACCTTTGACTGTGAAAGGAGGCCTATTAATAATTATTCTGGGAGAACAGGATTGAAATGGGACGCATGTTCCCCATACTCATAAGGAATATGACTCAATTTTTAACAAAATAAGGAGGCTTGGGGAGGTTCATGTCATATGCTCTTTGTCCTCTCAGGGCTCTTAGCACAGAGGCTTGTGCAGGTGAACGCTTATTGAGATGCGCAATATTTAACAATCTGGACCTATTTATAGTTCCTATTTTAGGTTCAATATCTTTATAGTGAAAGTGTAATCTTTAGTTATACACTTCAGTATAATTAAATCAAAGTAATTTTAGTTAAATGTGAAGAAAGTTTAATTGGAGCTGAAGTATATTGATCATACCAGCCTCTTTTTATTCTGTTCTAGGTTCAATGTATTTTAGTAGATTTTTGAATTTAGAATGATGACATGGCAAAACTTAACCTCATTTCAAAATGAAAAAAGCCTCCAAGTCAAGAGGATTTGTTGTTAAGGTGTCTAAGCATTTCTCTCCTGGTGGCAAACCTACAGTCTTTCAACTTAGAGGAGTTTGTCACTTGATTTGAAAGAGACTATGCTGCTACTAGCATGGCTACCTTACAGGGAGGTTCAAGAACAATTTATATCTGAAAACAACAGTAACAAACTTGTTGGCATTTTTAAAACACAAATGTGATGTATGTTTTGACATTATCTAACTTTTTAAGCTTAATATTAGGAGAAATATCATCTGTAATCCTGTGTGTGCTGACTGCCAGCAGGCTAGTGAATGTCTGTCAGGACTCACAAAATCTGGCTTCCTATAGCAGCATACTGTCATTAAGAAGGAGAGTATCCCATCTAATTAAAAAAAGATGGTATGACTGCCAGCAGGCTAGTGAATGTCTGTCAGGACTCACAAAATCTGGCTTCCTATAGCAGCGTACTGTCATTAAGAAGGAGAGTATCCCATCTAATTAAAAAAAGATGGTAATGAAGATTAACTTCTATTTTGGAATGTATATCCTCTTTATATAGAGTGACTAGGATATTATGATTAGAGATATTATGCTTATCTTTTTCAAAATAGAATTGAGTGGATTAATATGTAAATCACTCTGTTGACCAATCCTTTGATTTCATACCGTGAGTCAAAACATCTCTCCCACCCTTTGTCCAAGTGTAAGCAGGGTAATCAGAGAAATAAACACCTTCTCAAGGAACAGGCCTCACGGCCTAAAACCTACACAATGACAGAATTGTTCTGTGATATTAAATGACATCCGTGCTAAGTTGGGTAAAAATAAGCACAGATGAGGAAAAAATGATTGCTAGGTATTAAATTCAAGTAGGGTAGATGTGAAGTTGAGATTGGCTACCTATTCATATTCATCAGGTTCTTGTGCTTTAAAGTTGGCTTTGGCAGTGTATTCATTTTTGCCCTCATATATTCCTTCATTTATTTGTTCACATTGTTAAATATGTAATATGTAATCATCACAGTGTGTAAAACAGTCAAAGAACCTTAGAGTCATCAGATAATCCCATTGTATTTTGTTTCAATGTGAGCCCAGTATTAATTATGACTGAGTTATTCTAATTATAAGATCTGGTCTATCTCAATTCCCTTTGAAGAATATT